TGGAGACACTCGGCGCTGCCGAAGGCGACGTCGTCGGGGATCATTTTCGATAGCGCGACGACCTCATCCACGTTGAGTTCGCCGAGGGATGCCGCGACGATGCTCGGCGGAAGGCCGAACACTAGAAGCCGGGAGCGCGGTCAATTCATTTGTGAGGGGCAGAATGGCGGAGAGGCCTACAGCTTTGGGCGGCCAACAGGACACCGGGATCCTTGTTATCGAGTCCAGCAATAAATTGCACGGGCTCGCAGTTGTTGTTGAACTGGAAGTGGATTGAGCCCTAGGGAGTGTTGTTTTTTAAGCGGGGCAGGATCCACATGGAGTGCGTATACAACGAACCTTGGGCATGAATATAGCCTGGCCCGCGGTAATATTGTTCATGATGAAGCGGGAACCCGTTTCGGGAAACATGCCAACCATCAGAGAACCGTTGATTGCATACAAGAACTCAGTGGCACGGGGATGCGTATGGGGCGTGTTCATGCCACATGGTCCAAGGAAGCCACCGAGGAGGGCAATGTCTGCGAAAACATCAGCCAACGAGGACAGCCGGGTATGACGAAAGTGGTGACTGACTGCCGTCCTCCGATGCAGGAAAAGTGGAAGGTGTAGTGAGGACCAGATGGCCAGCTGCGCCAGTAGTGACAGCTCCTGGAGGGGGGTTGAAGAAGTCGAAGACGAACTAAGGCGCGGGGTTGGAATTCTATGCGCTCGTTGGGAAAGTGTGGCGACATACCTCTGAGTCGTTAGGGAGGTCAGCGATGAGGTCGACATGGCTCGGGGAAGTGATTAGTTCAGCGATGAGGTCGGCCGTTGACTGAGGTGAAGCAGAAGATTGAGTCTGCCCCACGACGCCTACCACCGATGCTGCCAAAGGAAACAGGAAAAAGGCCAACATTATGGCAAGGGAAACAAGGCCACTGGACTACTAAAGTATGAAGAATTGAAGTGTTATGGACCTCAGTGGAAAATGGGGACGAACTGGAGGTGGGACCACATTTATATAGTGAGGCGAGAGACGCCTGAGTTCGATATCAATTCCGCGGTGGACCTGCAGACCACACGAGGGGTGCAATCTTGTTGCGCACAGGCTCGGGGATGCACAGCACTAGCCAAATCCGGGATACCGAAGGGCGGGCGTTTGATTATCAGATAACTAAGCGGAGAAAGACACCTAAATTCAGGACCTTGCTTCTGTTGGATGTCTCATCGACCGCCTTGGTATTGGACCTAGAGACCCCGCGTCGAAGTTGCACATGCATGATAAGACATCGACGATGCTCCTAGTAGTCTGTCCTCCACAGCGGTATAGACTTTGATCGCGCTCATCGGCAAGCTGCGACATTGCTACAACATGAAACACTCGCGAGCGCCTCCTTCCCCGCCCATACGGGGAGGTCGGGAATCACTAACCATTGGCAGGTCTCGGGTCACTGACTTGGCAGGCTCCCTGGTCGAAGCACCGCTTTACTAGAACCCGCGCACGGGAAGAAACAATGGCTGTGTCTGGTGAACAAGACAAAGGACCACAAAAAAGAGTGGGCTCACAACTATAGATAGGTTTGCACAGGGGCCATGGGTGGATCTTGTGACCTATTTTAATATAAGATGAGAGCAACATCGCAAACAACAGGGTGGGCGTACCTCTGGCGGTGCGACGACATCTTGACTCACACAACTGACCAGGCGCCGACGTTTCTCACTCAATGACAAGGGGAATTTCGGGGCCTCCACGGCGAGGAGTGCTTACTGCTTCAGTGATATTCCAGTGAAAGATTCGGAACACTCTGCATGTATCTCTAGGTACGGAGTATAAACCAGGAGTTTTAAAAATTCAAAATTAAAAAAAAAACATCTTGACTTGACAAGTTCAAGTTCCTGATTCTGCGTGGACGGTCGGCTAAATAAGACTCTTAATCGTGATTCGTCAGTCTTCGTCGTGCACAGCACAGATGATAGGATGTGTCAGTGCCAACAATAATAAGCGGCCGATCACGCCGCTGGATCCATCAAGCGCACAGGCTGACGATGGCAAGGAACACCGCGCGATCGACGATCACTTGAAAGCACACAGCTCCAGGCTTCAACTTTCTCGAGCTCGATTGGGTCGGTGGAGTAGTCTCATCTTTCGCATTGCGAGTTTAATATCAGCCTAACACGGACTCAGAGTGGTGGAGACAGGCGCACGCACAGCTCGGCAAGGCCTCGGGGGACGTGTATGGTGCCGATCACTCCTCACTTTCATCATCCCTCTGCTGCTTGCCTTCCCGTCTCCACCATCTCACGAGTCTCCTTTCGAATCGCTCTACCACCCCTGCGACGTAGTCTTCAGGCACCCCTGCCCAATGAGCCGCTCGCCGCACCACCACTTCGTACTGCACCGGGATCGATCCGAGCACATCGAGCGTGTTGTAGATTGCATATATTTCGCCTGGGCGCAGATGATCATCCTCAGCGTCCAGCGGAGTTGCCTTCAGCGCTGCAGGCGCGTCTAGATTTTCATCCTGGGGCGGTGATGACATCTGCGAGCTGTGTCGCTCGAGGGGGAAAAAGTCTGTGCCGGCATTTTGTTCTGTAATGGGTGATAGTGGCACGTTGAGGCGGTTGGTGTAGAGCTGAGAAATGGAACTTACCGCTCTGTCGATCCTCGTGAGGCAAAAGAGCAGTTTCACAAAAGTCGATATACTGGTCGAGCGACCGCTCGTCCATGTCGATGACTGACCTGCGGTGCCAAAATAATTTATGAACAATTCAGAATCAGGCAGAACATGCTCGTACAGCGGTGAGCTTGCCGAGAACGGGAAGTGGTCAGCCGATTTGGTGTCTACTTCCTCGATGCATTTCAATAAATCCGACAGCCGGGGCAATGCACATGCGGGGTCGTCTTTCTCCCTGGGTAGCCTAGAAGCGTATTTAGAGCGAGTAGAATTCCAGAAACCAATTTTACGTTATCTACCTTTCCCCGTTGTCATCGAGACCGTACACCAACTTCATGACCACAATCACGCTCGCGATAAGGGAAACTTCTGGCACAATACTATCAAATTTGTGCCACGTCGGGTCTCGTTTTTTCTCGTGTTTGAGTGGCGATGTGAGGGCACGATGAAGAGTGAAAGGTATCGATGCGATCCGGGCCACCTTCTTCGTAAGAGCATAGAGCGTCGCTGTAGATCAGGCTGAGTGTGGTGTCGTTATGACCAAACCAGAAAAACATACGTGTTCCGCATAAACTACGAACCGCACGCCAAAGTGTCGGAGGTGAGTTCATCTCCGGAGTGTGCACGTCGTAAGTCAGGTACATCAACTTCGCTAATCTCGACGTAAGCCCGTGTAGATGTAGCACAGTAGGGGCATGCTGTTTTTCATCGTACGTCATGAAAAATTATCGGGAAAATAAACAACAGAATGAGACCTACGTGCGGAGAAAGCGCATGTACGGTATGTTTCGTGAGATGAGATGCAAGGCTCCATGGCAGGAAACGGACAGGATCGAGGTATTGGAGCTTGTATTCCTCGATAAGCCTGCACTATTAGTAATTCCCCCATCTTCAAAGCAGATTGCACACCTAATAAAATCCATGTATGTCACAGGTAGTCTCAAGGTCCAGCATGCTACCATGAGCACAGCGACGTTACTCGCGGGTGCATCATACACCCGCGAAGGATGCTTGCGCTTTGCGACCGCGTAGGCATCTGCACGTGGAGGCCGCGGAGCGTCGTCCTCATCGGATGACGATGTGTCCGAGTTCTCCTGCATGAGGACTTCCATCTCCAGATCGTCATCATCTCCATCGTCATTCTCAGAACTAGAGCTAGACGGGGACGAGGGACGAGAGGCGTGATCTTGTGCTGCATCCTGTTCGCCGTCTGTCTCACGCGCCCGCTCATCGTCACTGCCCTCCTCGGGCGGGGGTGTTCGTCGGACATTCGAAGGTTCAGTGCCGTGGACATCCCGAGAAAAGAGAAGAGGTTCCGGGGGTGGCGGGTTCGGGAGAAGGCTGAGATGGAGTGCCCAGATGTCCCTACAAATGATCTGTAGGAGTTGGTGTTGGGTTGGTCAAGTGTCGTGTAGCGATCGATGTATTCAAACCTCAAACTCTTTGGGAAGTCCCCATAGCTCGGTGAGAGACGCGACTTGTATACGGAGGATAAGCTGCAAGCACTGAAAGTAGTGGTAGCGTGCTCTGTCGCCATGATACACTGGAACGAAAGGGGTTCAGAGGTGCAGCTTCAGGATGGTCCGGAGGTCTGACACTTTGGATCTGCTTTGCTCTGCCTCTCTTTTCTCTTCCGCCCCGACTTTAGTGTTCGCTTTCGAAGTGCATGTGGGCCAAGGTCAGTGACCTCTCTCGTTTCGTTGCGGTAATTCTGCATGCGCTAGGGTCATTTTCGAGGCTTATCACCAGTAAATATGCGTACTTGAAGTACATGTCCCTCACTGCAGGTGATGAGCCCGCTGGCAGGCTCTTTATGCCACTGTTTTGAACCACACACGGGGCAGCGTCGTCGAGGAGCCATGGTGCTTTAGATACCCGACTGGGTAGGGAGCTCGGAAACAGTGGATCTTCAATCTCAGCGCGTGTAAGCGTATCGCGACCACGTGATCGCTCCTCATCTACGCTGCTGTGGCTCTCATCGCCTCGAGGCGAAATGACGTCGCGCGTTCGCAGTCGAATATTATGCGGAGGCCTCGCTGCAATACTCCCATCTTTCTCGCTCATCTACCAACTCGACTTTCACGAATAAAAACACACAGAAATTCGAAATATCGGGCACGACTGATGGCGTATGCGCACTATCAGTCCAATGGGGACAACTGGGGCACTTCACAGGTACGTCGTCCAAACGGCCATCCTCCCCCTTCATCCGCTCATCCACTTCTTACACAGTTCAAGTTCGGGGCACCACCCCCGCCGGCGTTCGAGCCCGAAGCATCATGTGCGTCTCCCTCGTCTTCCGTATCACAGCGAGCCGACCCATATACCAGGGGACGGCACGAGGTACTTTCAAGCCCACTCATTCTACAGCGATCCGTAAGTGTTCTCTGGAGACCCACATCGCGTCTCTCAGGCGTCCTTTTGCAGCAATTTCTACAACTCCGTCGTCGGGCGTATGTCGATGGCCGCTGGCATTGGCTTCAACGAGGCGCGCCATTGGCATCGTCGTATCTATGGTGGACTGGTATGATCCTCTTCCTAGGTTGTTCAAATATTCATCTTACCCACCACACCACTATCGTCTCCATCACCAGGTAAACCTTGCGCAGGTCCTCCCTGCCGATATCGGTGCTGCCGCCGCATATGAGGCATACCGCATCTGGAAATATCACCAGAATATAGTGTATCAGCCGCTGAACAATGACCCGGAGAGACAACGCGAAGCCCTAGTTGCTATGGCCATAGCAGAATGTGCGAGCGAGCCACTATTCCTTGGGACGAAACATTCTTATATTCCTCATGTGCGTAGCGACACAGCTCTGGCAATATACTGGCCGTGCGCTGGACGCGTATGGAAGACAAGATGCCGCCGAGGCCGCTGCGGGGACCGCGCAGAGAATTGCGCGTAGAGTACGTTCTATTACCCTTCAAACACAATTCGGTACAGCCGCGCTTATACGCTTGGAATCTTAAACAGGTCTTGTTTATGGAGACTGCAGGGGCCGGAGCAGGTGGTATGGGGATGGGGGCCGGGATGGGTGCAGGTGATATGGGAATGGGCGCTGGGATGGGCGCAGGTGGTATGGGAATGGGTGCAGGCGGCATGGGAATGGGCGCTGGGATGGGTGCAGGTGTTGGCGCAGGCGGAATGAGCCCTGGGATGGGAACAGGCATCGGAGGCGGTGGGATGGGCGGCGGCCTCGGTGGGGGCAGTATCAACCCAATCGACTATGCCAATGGTGGCATAAATACCCTCAATTATGCTGGCAGAGCAGGCACTGGCGTCATTGCACGCGACTATGCGCGTCCCAGGGGGATACGGCGCGTGTCATCCGCATCATCAACTCTGTCTGGGCTTGCGGCAGGTGGAGGAGGGATATCCCCCATGTCGGCAGCTGGCACGCCAATCCCCAGCCCACGCTTAGGAATGGGAACAGGTATTGGAAGTGGCGGAATCGGCGCAGCACCCGGGATGAATGCAGGTATGGGTATGGGTGCCGCTGGATATCCTGCTGCTGGTACTGGCGCATTGGGCGGGGTCGGCGGAGCTGGTACCATCCCGCTCAACGCTAGCGTATATGGTGCGGGTGGCCTCGGTGGTGGAGTGGGCACTAGCGGTGTCATGTCAGGTGGGACCGCGGGTACCATGTATGGCGGTATACCGGGGACTACAGGAGGAGCAGTTGGTGCGCCTATGGCTGGATACGGAACACAGATGGGAACAACAGGTATGGGGGGATACCCAGGATATATGGGATATCAAGGATACTCAGGATATACGGGCGGGTACCCCGGACAAGCCCAGGTCATACCCCCTGGATCGACGGTGCTCGTGCGCGAAAGACCCAGGCGGCGACATCGCCACAGGGCCCACAGTGTGGACAGATATTAAAGATACCATTGCTTCATGTGGAATAGAACTGGGATACGTACCGGTTTCGATAGAGGTAGCTTGGCCTGCATTTCTAAAATAGCACGCGTAGCCAGAAAGTCAGAATGCCACACGGAGAATCACGGCGAAGTTAGCGGGTACAGCCATGACACATCCTCTGGCATCCTACTTCGACAGCGGTAACATTGTCGTGAGAACACAAGGCATAAATAACATTCATCGTTTCGGTGCCCACAGGTCATAAAGTTCCTTGTCAGAGATATCGAAGCACGTAATCATAGAGGGATCGGCGCGTATTATCGCCTTCCTTGATGGCGTTCCGAAACTTGGCGAAGCTGACATGGATGCTGCCCCGCGGAAAGCTGATCGTGACAAATTGGACATGGTCGTCGACGTTGGAGAGACATCCCCAGAGAAGACCTGGCAGTGACTGTCGGAGGAATTGGGCATCATAAATGCTCCTTACTCACCTCCTCGCCCGAATGTGCACTGGAGAAGCGACTGCGGAAATTGCTGTCCGGACTTGGCGCATTGCTACGTCCGCGTCCTAGAAGCTCTGAGTCAGCGATCGACAATTGCATGGAAACTGAGACGTGCCCGGTGTGGAGGGAGGCGTTGTGGTGAAAAAGGCAGACGAATCCATGGTTGTCGTTGCAGCCAAGCGACGCGACGCGCAGAACAAAGGACGAGAGTGATGTGACATGTCGCGCCAGATCGAGTCACACGCGACAGACTCCAGAGTCCCTGAACCCTGGCCTGGCCAAAGCACTTGCACCAACTCCATCATGAACATCTTCAGGAGCCGTGCGTGTTTTGTATATTGCGAGATACACTCTATTTACTAATCCCATTTACGCAAAGTCCTCGGCAAAGTTTGGCGTACGTTTCGAAAATCCGTGGAACCATGCTTCTCTTGACATCATCCCCCAGATGACCCTAATGCCGCTGAGGTTGTCAAGATCTCCGAAGGCCAGCTTTACCTTGTACGCTCGGGCACAATTCGCGGTGCTCGCGAATGCATGTAAGCACTATTATCTTCCGGGTAGCGAGGGATAGGCCGACATTGATATTTAATGTAGCTATAACGATGCCATGGCCACGATCCGTCGTGTACCGTCCCTCGAACACCATTTCCAGCTTGTCATCACGCGCGTGTACGAGGAGGGTGATCAGGAGCTTCTGGAAGATGAAGAAGAAAGTAAGTCTGAGCTGCTGTTCCCCGTTGCCACAATTCACCAACCTTTTGGCAAGCTGATGAGGAGAGGTCTTTCCTGATCAGCCAGGAATTGCAATTTCAGAGTGCATTGGGTGAGGAGGGCCCTAGCTTCATGTGGCGCGATCTCGACGGGGATGTGGACGAGTTTTTCGAATTCGTGGCTCCCAGCACAAATGAGCCCACTCGCGCCTTCTTCGAGACCTGCATGTACAGGGCAATGTACGAACGGAAATACAAGAGGGGTGCAGATGATACGGTAGATGCGGATTTGCAGGAGTTTATCTGGCAGTAAGTGGTCATCCCGCAAGGCGTCTCGATCCTTAACGATATGTTAGACCTCCTGCTCCAAAATCCAAGTCCAAGACATCTTCTGGAAAGAAGGCTGCATCAGCTTCTCAATCTCAGGAAACCACTGTCACTGAACACCTTCCAGTTGTGCCCGAATCTCAACGCAAGACTGAAAGCAATGCTCCTGCGACGCAGGAGACTCGGCCACCGGCTTCTACATCTGAAAACGCTGTTCTACCTTCTCTGATTGCCGAACCAGCCGAACTGCACCTTTGGGACCGGATTGACGGGTATTTTCTCAAGCAAGCTGATGTCATCGCACATATTGCGCAGAAACCATCGGATGGTGCCTTCAATTTCTGGCTTGGCGCAACTACTCGGGAAGGCGGAACTCAACTCCTTGCGCACACTATTCAATCTGAGATGAACCACCGTTGGGCTACTAAGCTCCGGTCATTTACCTGGAACAATCAGAATGAAAAGGGTGAACAGAGTAGCTGGTGTCTCAGGTTCGAGACATCGGAGGGCTTCGAGAGATTCCAATCCATGTTCACAAGGGCACTTTGGGAAGGGCTGAACCACCAATCATGGGAAAAGGCGAAGGTATGTTTCATCCGCTGCTGCATGGCTAATCAGAGAATCTTAAAATCTGCGCTAGCCCGACGAGCAAGCCTACGTCCTGAGTTCTAATGTAGAGGACGTTGAAATGCAAGACGTCGAAAATGACGAGGACGATGAGGATGATGTAGAGAATGAGCTCGGTAAGATATGCAAGAGTTCAGTCTTAGTATCTCACACCGTCTGACTTGCTTCCAGACAAGAGCGACGACGAATCTGAGCCTGAATCCGACGTGGATGAAGAAGCTGCTCAACAACCGACGAACGACGGTGCACGCAATTCTCAGCTCACTGTTGGCTACAAAGGCGATCGCTCATACGTCGTTCGGGGTGATAAAATTGGTGTCTTCGGTCACACCAGTGATCACCAAGTCGAGTATGTTGCCGGTATTGGTAACCTATCGACACCAAAGGGCAAAACCTTCACGCCTAAACGAGTCTGTACAATCTCTTGTTCGTGTTCATTCTTACTGACACTCACCGTAGGTTATGTTACACGACCAAGACACTAAGATGGTGGTAATGAATCCTGCCGAGCCTAACTCCCTGTACAGCCTGGACTTGGACCGCGGTAAAATTGTCGAGGAGTGGAAAGTGCACGAGAACATCACTGTGAACAATATTGCCCCGGACAACAAGTTTGCCCAAATGACGCCGGAGCAGACTATCATCGGCACGTCTCACAACGCGCTTTTCCGCATCGACCCACGTGTGTCTGGCACGAAGATGGTCGACAGTCAATACAAGCAATACGTCAGTCGGAACCAGTTTTCGGGTGTCACAACCACGGAATCCGGCAAAATTGCAATCGCGAGCGAGAAGGGCGACATCAGAATGTTCGACTCGATTGGAAAGAACGCGAAGACGGCCCTGCCCCCACTTGGGGACCCGATCCTGGGTATAGACGTCACCGCCAACGGGCGCTGGATTGTGGCGACGACGAAGACATACCTGTTGCTCATCGACACCCTCATCGGCGAGGGCAGGTATACAGGTAGCCTGGGCTTTGACCGCAGCTTCCCAGCAAATGCGAAGCCTATTCCTCGTCGGCTGCAGCTCCGGGCGGAGCATGTCGCCTACATGGATCATAGTGTATCGTTTTCGCCAGCAAGGTAACGTAACATGCGGGCATGTAGCCCCGTCCAGCGCTGACGTACGTGGTGGACAATGCAGGTTTAACATGGGTGAAGGCCAGGAAGAGAACGCTATCATCACGTCCACGGGTCAGTTTGTCATCGCGTGGGACTTCTCCAAAGTCAAGAAGGGGCAGTTGGACAAGTACGAAATCAAGAAGTATGTCATCTGATTGCGCTACTGCGTGCGCCATACTAAATTGTACTGCAGGTATGAGGATATGGTCGTTCAGGATAACTTTAAATTCGGAGATGATAAAGAGATCGTACGTGACGGCATGACGCCAGCGGTCGGGCGATGCTGACTTGTGTCCTTCACAGATTGTCGCACTGCAAAACAATGTGCTTGCGGTCAACAAGAAGAGTCTCAAGAGGCCCACGCGGGCATCAATCGCGACACCCTTTGGAAATCCAGGGAGCCGTTCTGGCATCGTAAATGCTCCATACTGATCTGGCTTGGTGCCATGGCTCAGACAATGATGAATATGTATCCATATCTTGCATCTCTCGCAGTACCAGTCTCGTTTTGCTCCTGGTCATACTTACGATGACCGTGATATGAAGTGTAGCTTACGTTGATACCACTTGCGACTTAATGTACAATACGCGAACAGACCGAGGATATAAGAAACTGTCATGGAATCGGAGACAAAGTTTCCTACGATATGTAGACAATACAACGAAGGAAAGTTTATTCGAACTTCTTCGAACTTCTACGCCAATTCTTTCTTTCCTCTAATTAAACCACATCTACTTGTCAAGGCAGGTGGTCTCAACGATGATGGAGGTAACACGGTAGGGGTCTGCGGAGCATTGATATCAATCAGCTGGCAAGGTCGATGACAAGCTGTCAGATACGCACCAATGTTGGACGCAGGACGCCTGTCTTCGAGATAACCGTAGCCTTGTGCGCCAACATGCCTGGGAATACGGATGGAAGCTCCGCGGTTAGCAACGCCAGAGCTGAAGGTGCCAATGTGACCAGTTTCGTGGCGGCCAGTGAGACGCAGGTCGTTATCCTCGCCATAGACGGCGATGTGCTCCATATGGCGCTTGCTCAACTTCTCGATGGCATCTTCGATGTACTTCATGCCTCCGGGCTCACGCATCGCCTTGGTGCTGTAGTTGGTGTGGCAACCAGCACCGTTCCAGTCGCCCTGGAGGGGCTTGGGGTGGAACGAGACCTTGATGTTCCATTGCTCGGCAATGCGAACAAGGAGGTAGCGCGCCATCCAGAGGTGGTCACCCATGGAGATGCCTTCGCAGGGACCAACCTGGAACTCCCACTGGGAAGGCATGACTTCCGCGTTGATACCAGAGATGTTCACACCGGCGTAGAGGCACGCGCGGTAGTGCGCCTCGATGAGGTCACGAGCGAAAACCTTGCCTGCGCCTGGGAGCGGGATAACAGTTAGCTTCCCACAACGTGCAACGCGAAACTAAAACAGGGACGTACCAGCACCACAGTAGTAGGGACCTTGAGGGCCAGGGAAACCGCCCTTGGGCCAGCCGTACGGGGTACCGTCTACATCGAAAAGCGTGTACTCCTGCTCGAGACCGAACCAGGGGACCTGGTCCTTGGCAAGGTCCATGACCTTCTTCGCATGGTGACGGTAGTTGGTCTTGTTAGGGGTGCCATCGTTGTTGTAGCACTCGGCCAAGACGAGGATGTTGTCACCACCACGGAAGGGATCCTTGAAGATGGCAGCGGGACGAAGGTAGACATCCGAATCGGTCCCGGGTGCTTGGTTGGTGGAAGAGCCGTCAAAGTCCCAAATGCGGAGCGTGCCGATGTCGGTGACCTTCTTGGTGACAGTCTGGGGCCATCGAAGTCAGCAAATGAGCGGAGGATGGCGCGCAAAATGCGAGAGGGCGTCCACGCCGAGTACTGACCGTGGTCTTGGAGCGGAGACCGCCATCGCCGTCGATCCAAACATCTGGGGAGGGTGATGTGAGTCACGGCGAAAGAGAACCTAAAAAAAGCGCATACATTCGGCCTGGATCTTGTCGCCCTGGGGGAGGGCGAGGTAGGGAGCCAGGAGGTCTGGACGGTAGGCCATTAGAGGAGACGGCGGTGCGATGGGTGGAGATGAGGGAGAGGAAGATGGAGGTTGATGCAAAGAGGCGGACGAGGGCCGTACTAGTATATGAATTTACGGGTGTTTAC